GGATTGGGAGAAGTTTGTAGATTGAGTAGTGAGTGTGTAGTGAAAAGCCATTTATCACAGGCTGCAGATTCAGAAATGGGCCACCAGGGGGTAAACAAGACTCAGAAATCTACTAAGGGAGCTTGGGGACTTACACTGCACAATGAGGTAGTGGAGAAGGCTGAGGAAGCCTGATTTGACTGGGGCTCTTGCTGGCTGGGCTCCAATGACCTATCGAAGGACTAGCAATGGTGTGGGCACCAACAGGTTTCTCTTATATTCTCTCATATTGTGTGCCCGGCTGCACCCTCTCTCCATTGTAGAAACTTTGGGCTTCCCCGGTCTTTGCTCTGAGATCTTGGGAGGACTTTGGACTCTTCTTTTTTTATGGCATCAATTCTCCAACTGTAAATACTCCCCCGACCCCATCAACTCCAGGTTGGCACTGGAGTAGAGTGCCGGTGTGGAGTGAGGGGTGTGCCTCTGGCTCTGAAAATGGGGCAGGGTTGGGATGGGCAGTAAATAGCTTCCCCAGCCTAGAACTTTGTATGGCAGTATGGCAGGAGAAGGTGAGGTCTGTCTCCTTTGGACTGTAACTTCCAGGGCCTAGCACAGTGCCTGGCGTATATTATGCCCTTGATATATATTTGTCAGTTTTCCATAACTACTTGATAGGGATAAACCATGCAGAGAGAACCAAGGCAGGTCATTAGGGTGCTCCAAAACATTTCCCGAGTCCTTCCACTCCTCAACAGTCCATTATTATATCCTTGTCCAAGCCACTGCTCTTTCTACCTGGACCCCCATAATAGCTTCCTAAGTAGTTTCTCTTGGATCTCTTGATCTCCCGTTTTATTCTTCACCAGGAGGCCAACATGATCTTTTAAAACCATAGATCAGATCATGCCACTTCTGAGCTTAACATCTTCCAGAGGCTTCTCATTACACTTTGAATGAAATCTGAACTCCTTACCCCGGCCTATGAGCTGTGCGCTAGCTAGAGCATGCCTTCCCCTCTGACCTCCTCTTGTACTTTCTTTCTCTGACACACTGGGCTTCAGTTTCATGGACTTTCTTTCTGTTTCTTGAACACAGTGAGCTTGCTGTTGCCTTAGGACTTTTGCATGAGCTGTCCCTTCTGCCTGGAATGCTCTTTACTCAGATTCTTTGCATGGCTGATTCCCTGTCATTCAGGTCTCTATGTAAATGTTACTTTCTCAGAGAGGCTTCTGGAAAACCCAACCTAGGTTTCTCCCCCAGGTACTTCCTATCCATCCACTATTTCAATTGTCATCATTGCACTTATCATCAACTATCTTTTCATCTATTCATTTGTTTCATGTCCCCTCCCACTAGAAGGCAAGCTTCATGAGACTTCGTCTGCTGAGTTCAATTACTCAGAACCGTATCTAGAACCGTATCCTAGAACTGTACCTAGCACATAGTAGGCACTCAATAAATATTGTGGAAAGAATGGGAATGAATGAATGATGGGGAGCTAAGGAATGGGAAATGGAAGTTTGGATCCCTCTGGAGTTTATAGTCAATCATTCCATTCCTGTGGGTGGTAGTGGTTGTGGGACTGGCAGTGGCCAAGGCCTCCCCCACCCTTGGGACCTAGAGGAAGCCAAGAGTCTGGGGCAACTGTCATGTTAGAGATGGTGACGTGGACAGGGTATATTTGCCAGAATGAATGAATGTGGATTGTCTTTACACATCTTTCTTATTTTCAGAAAATGCAATATACAGAAACTGATCTTTAAGACAGAAAAGTTAGGGAATGGTGATTTGCACTGTAAAAGCAATCTTTGCTTTGTAAAAGGGAGTAGGCAGAGGCTCACTTAACTATTTCCCAAACCATTCCGGGAAGGCTCAGGGGACTGATGCCCATTCATTTGTTACGTTATAGGGCGTTTTCAACACTGGATATTTATAGAGTGTTGTTTAGATACACAACAGCTATATGGAACTTACATTTCCCCTTTGTAGGAATTTCCCCTTCCTGAAATGAGAGGTTGAGAATACATCACTCTGTGACTGTGGCCTGTATTAGAAAAACCAAGGTCATTGAGACCAAGCTGGACTTGAAGAAATAGAAACAGCTCATGCCAGCTGCCCGCTTCTCTGTCTTTTTTTCTTCTGTTTGGGTTAAACCTTCTGTCAGGGTTAAACCTTCCAATTGATCCTGGACTTGCCGTTTCTTTTCCACTCTGGGATAAGGAGGTCCTTTCTGAATATCTTACTTATAGTAGTGGTTCTCAAACTCGGCTTAGCAAGGCTGGTGTTCCACAAGCTGGATCACAGTGTTCTGCCGTAAAAACTGAGTAATAACCATCTTGTCCCAGTTCAAAGAAAATAATAATAGATAGAATTTTCTCAATTTTAAGCCTTTTACAATATTTTTTTCCCCTAAAACTTTGGTGCCTGTGATTCTAGACTCTATTTGATATGGCATATTAATATATTAATATTTCATCATGTTCTGCTGAGAAAACCCTTTCTTTCAGAGGCTCAGAGTAAGTCTGAGAGCCACTGTCTTAGAGACTCCATGTTTCCTACCAACCTACTCACCTGCAAGCTTTTTAAAACAGCCTTGGCGCATTTCAGAGATAGATGATTTGGCTGAAATCATCTGGCACATGCAATCCTCTGTCACAGAGGGGGTTGGTGAAAAGCCCAAATTCTAACTTGCTGGCCTAATGAGGGATCCCTGGCTCTTTGCAGTTGGTCAGCAGTAGCAGTTCTCACACTTTTGGGGTCATGAAGTTAGAGATCAAGGGCCTGCTGTCCCTATCCTTCAATGTACATATTCCCCACCGAGAAATGGGGACGAAGCCCACCCATCAACAAAAGAATGTCTGTGCTTCTGAGGAAATATCGGGAAGGCCTGGTGCAATTCATGTCTGTGATATATATAGACATAAACATAGTGAAGCAGATTGGAAAGAGCAATGAACTGGGGTCAGTGGCTATGAGTTCTGGTTCTACTTCTGTCACCAACCAGCTGTATGACCTGGGCAAGTTATTTCCCGTATCAGGGGCTTGGTTTTCCATAGTTAGTGTAGCACAGTGGTTACAAACACAGACTCCGAAGCGGGACTACAGGCCTTCAGACTCTGGATCTCCCACTTCCTCTCTGACCTCTCTATGCTGCATTTTTCCCGTCTCTAAGATGAGGGTGATAATAATGGTATCATGAAGTCGTTATGAGAATTAGAAGGGCTTAGAAGAATACTCGGCACATAAGAAATGCTATATAAGTACCTGTTGTTATAATTACTAAAAATACAGTGGCTGAATTGGATCATCTTTATGACCTCTCTGCTCTAGTATCCTATACATTTACAAATTCAATAACTGAGTGTTTCCCATGTGTCTAGCACTAGCTCATGTTTCTTATCTACGAAATGAGAGACTAGAATCGTTTTTAAGGCCCAAACAGTCTATAGTTCTGTAAATAGATCCTCTATAAGGTGCCGATGGTGGCCACCCTCCAGGAACCCAGATGGAATTCAGGAGGGCAGACCAGCCATACATTAGCACATCAGCCATACGTTAGGGTACAGGAGGCCAGTGTAACTTAAAGCACTCGGAGATGGACCTCTAGCATATTTCTCCAGCTTACTTGGTTTGTGTCCATTTTTAAAAAAAATTCCAATAGAAAACAAAGCCTCCATTTCGAGATATAAAATTTTGTGATGCACACATTTCTTTTTCTCAATTTTCTTTTGTATTTTCCCCACGTGGCCCATAAACATTATTCTAAGAGGTAAATGGCAGAAATTGGATTCAAGTTGGAGAGGAAATTTTGAAAGTGGTGAGAACACTAGCTACTTAAAGGCGGAATCAGGCAAAGAGGGCCCAAAGGTCAAATTACAAGCCAGGCCTGCACAAGTGAGAATCATACATGACATAATAAATTATCCCTTTCTCATTTTCATTTCCCATTTTCAAATGTTTTAACTAACATTTTTCTAGCTGATCTTCAAAATCCTGTAAGAAAGACAAGGCAGATGGATAGTTTCATCCCTATTTTATAGATGAGGCTCCAAGAGAGTAAGTGATGGTTTACCCAAGGTGTAGAGTATGCAATTATATATGCCTGATAAGTGATAGAAATTAATTTCCCTAAGTCTTTCCCTCTCTTCATGGCCTCAAGCTCTGTCCTGGGCTTAGGAACCACAGAAGGGATTTGGCATGGACAAGAGTTGGGCCTTGAAGGACAAGCATGTACAGAGGTCTGGGTCTGAGGAGCGAGCAGCTTCAGATATCTAGGTTATAGGACCTCAGGTGGGGAAGGGGTTGCCAAGGGAGGAGGAGCTACAGGTTGGGTTGAGGGAACCAGGAGCGGGCCTCCAAGGGATGCCAAGCAAGTTGCCCTCTTCTCAGCTCTGAGGAATGGCATCTCTTGTAACATCAGACTCACCTATATCCTGAGAATTAACCCTCTTCCCCTTTCTGGCTACATCACCTTTCTAATCCTGAAATGGTTAAGGCAGCTTCCACGTGATTTTCCCATCACCCAGGTAACTTGGGCTGCTGCTCCATGCTTGAAACGTGGGAAATAAATAAAAGTCCCAAACAATTTATCAGTTCGTGTGCCTAGCAATGAACCCCACCTTCCACCCCCCCACCCCCCCTCAGCAGGGAAGCACAGTCGTCCCTTATTGGGAAGCACCGATTTAGGCTGACCCCTTAGTTCTTGTACGAATGCAGTAACACTGCATTTATTTAGGAGTGGTAAACTGGGGGAGGGATTGTGCACTTTGGCAGGTGCGGGGGAGGGGCTCCCCAGAGAAAGTGAGGCCAGCGAGCAGCATGGAGAGTTCCCCTTCCCTCGGTCCCCCTTCTGGGCTCTGGGTGCAGCAGGTTTGTGTCTCGGCGGATGCCCCAGAGAGTTGGGGGAGGAGAAGAAAAGTGGTGCGCGTGGAAGCAGGCCGCATACACCTGGAGCCTTGTGGAATGAAATCTTAATTAATTATTAAACTGAGTTCCCGAGGGAGGGAGCCGGGCCACGGCAGGCAGGGCGAGGGCTGGGGGAGGGAGGAAGGGACGGGTGAGAAGTGGGCGCGGGGCGCTGATTCTGCCCCTGGGGTCCCGGTTAGGAAGGAAGCTGACCCTCTGGGCGAGGGGCTGGAGGCAATCGCTGCGCGAGGGTGGGTTTGCGGGCGCGCTGCGAGACCCCTGGGGTGAGGGTGGGAGGAGAAGGCTGGAGGATGCGGCCGGGGGGAAGAGGGAACCCGGAGCCGGCTGGACCTTCCCCCCCGCCGTCCCCTCCCTTCCCAGGGTCTTGATCCCAGAACAGTGGCCGCTTGTCTTCCAAGGACTGGGGGAGGGAGCTGCCAGAGGAGAGGAGGGGGCGCGCGCAGGGAGGGGTCCCCTTCTTTAGTCTCCCCCTACTCCTACTCTCCTCCTCGCGAAGGGTGTGGGCCGCCCAGCCCCGCGTCTGAGGCGGGGGAGGGGTGCCCAGACAAAAGGAGCTTGTGCCTTTAAGGCGGGGAGTCCGGGAGCCGCGGGGAGGGGACTTCTGGATCCGGGGTAGAGGGCGGCTGCGCTGGACAGCAGGGAGGGGGCGCGGGCCGGGCGGACGGCGGACGGTGGCAGGGACGACCGGGACGCGCGGGCAAGGAGCAG